GGTGTCCCATTGCCTGATGCGCTCAGCTTGTATTCGCTCACCTGTTGACAGACAGCTGGGGCTTTACAGGTGTGGGCTGTATGCAGAAAGGTGCATTTTGTATATGAGCCACCACTTTTCTTTTCTTCTTTTTTGGTACTAAGGATGAAACCCAAGGGCACTTTACCACTGAGTCACATCCCCAGTCCTTTTTATTTGGAGACAGGATCTCACTAGGGAACCCTGGCTGGCCTCGAACTTGTGATCTTCCTGCCTCAGCCTCCTGAGTTGCTGGAAATATAGTTTGCACCACTGAGCCCCGCTAAGTCACTGTTTTTTAAAGGAAATATTTTGTGATGTCCAAGGATGAAACACAACATATTTACTGCTTGACAAAAACATTAGTCCACCCAGCAGTATCAAGGACACGGGCCCTGCTTCTCTCCCACTGTGCCCAGTGAGAACCCCGAGGCAGCTGGGTCAGAGGGAGTTCCTGGGGTCTCCAGGGAGAACCAGGAGGATACCAACAGCTGGGTTTCATGGTGAGGCCATTCACCAGTGGGTCACTAATCCACGAATTAATGTCAGCCCTGGGTGTGACTACCCCAGAGTGGGTGCTGGTTCTAGTGCAGGCTCTGGGTAAGCTCTGTTTTCCTGACATGAAGTTCATAGATAACATAATCCACCTGTTAATGATCCTTATCCAGTCATGGCAGCCTGTGCCTGTATCTCAGTTTCTCTGGAGGCTGAGCAGAAGAAACACTTGAGTTCAGGAGTTCAAGGCCAGCCTGAGCAACATAGAGACCTATCTTAAAAAATAGCAAAAAATAATCCTTAATTGGGGGTGTAGCTTAGTGGTAGAACACTTGCCTAGTATGTGCAAGGCCCTGGGTTTCATCCCCAGCAATTAAAAAAATCCTTTACTGTCCTATCTGTAATAGAGAGAGAGAAAAGGAGAATGATTTATAATATGTATCTCCACATCTCCAGAACCCAGGGAGGTAGCCAGACATTTACACCAGTAGTTGGCAGTTCCTAATGTGGTGGAGACTCGCTTTATTGGTGTCTAATTACCAAGAACCATGGTCAATGTGATTTTCTGATCTGGTAGATAATCCTTGGCCAAGTTTCTAACAAAACATGATAGAAGCTTCCCTCATATTACATGCTAGTTGCTCTTCCTGGAAAATTCAGAGTCTGTTAAAGACTCACAAAAGAGACTGTGTTTACCAGAAAGAGTTTGATTCAGGGCTCGGATAATTATTACCAGAGTTTTCACCTCCAAGTGAGGTTAAAATTTAGTTTGTCTGCACTAGCATGCATATCCTCATTGTTAAAGTATTGAAATATTCCGGGCTGGGGTTTTGGTTCAGTGATAGAGAGCTCGCAAGTGTGCAAGAGGCCCTGGGTTCGATCCTCAGCACCACATAAAAAATAAAATAAAGGTATTATGTCCACCTACAACTAAAAAAAAAAAAATTAAATGACATTAAAAATATTGAAATATTCTATTCTGGCTGGTTAATAATAACAAGAGTGAATGAGAGAGCAGTGAATTTTTTTTGTTGTTGCTGAAGCTGGATTTGAACTTGAGATCCTCCTGTCTTAGCCTCCTGAGCTGCTGGGATTTCAGGTGTGCACCACCATGCCCTGCTGAGAACAATGAATTTATATAGTTCATATTCTAGGCTCATTAGTTCATGTTAATTGTTGTGATGGGTTTTCTGTCCTATAATAATTTAGTTGATATTAAAGATGTTGAGTACATAAAACCATCAGACAGTATAAGACCTAGAAAAGTTTTTTAATTTCTATGCTTTTAGTTCAGGAACAGTGATAAGCGGAGAAAACCCAAAACACTATGGTTACTACTGAGAAGTCATTTGTTTATTGAGACCTCAAGTCACCTGATGATCCCCATTTAATGGGAAGCTGCTGGAACATCTGATGTGGTTCTCTGTGTCAAATCACACGAAGGCAAAGTTGTTATCACTATAAACAGTGATAGCTTTGTTCATCAAGAAATCCCACCAACAATTTCTAAATAAAACAAAATTATTTGAGAATGATTTTAATTTCAACTTAATTCTTTGGTAAGCAATCTAAAGAAAGATGCATATATAGATCAATTGCTTGGAATATTTAGAATATAAAATATTTAAAAATTTGATGCTGGGCCCAGTGGCACATGCTTGCAATCCCAGTGACTCAGGAGGCTGAGACAGGAGAATTGTGAGTTCAAAGCCAGCCTCAACAAAAGCAAGGTGCTGGGGCTGGGGATGTGGCTCAAGCGGTAGTGTGCTCTCCTGGCATGCGTGCAGCCTGGGTTCGATCCTCAGCACCACATACAAACAAAGATGTTGTGTCCGCCGAAAACTAAAAAAAAATAAATAAATACTAAAATTCTCTCTCTCTCTTTAAAAAAAAAAAAAAGCAAGGTGCTAATCAACTCAGAATTGATTTACTTTATTTTATTTTCTAAATAAAATAAAAACTAGGGCTGGGGACGTGGCTCAGTGGTCAAGTGCCCCTCAGTTCAATTCCCAGTATCCACCCCCAACAAAAATGTAAAAAAAAAAAAAGAAAAAAAAGAAAGAATTGATGCACCTACATGTTTATATCATTGAACTAGCTGACCAGTTGCAATCCCCTTCCCTCCCAGTACTGGAGACTGCCCAGGGGACTCTCCCACTGAGCCACATCCCCAGCCCTGTTTATCTTTTTGAGACAGGGTCTTATTAAATTGCTGAGACTAGCCAAAACTTGTGATCCTCCTGCCAGCCTCCCATGTCACTGGGATTACAGGTCTGCATTATCATGCCCAGCTCAGCTGCAAAACATTTTAAATATGGTCTTTCCCTCCTGAACATCACTGGGACATATGAAAATTGTGGGAGGCAGGGCTGCTGCTTTACTGTGTGGTGGTGTCCCGCAGACCTGCAGAGGCCCCTCTGCTCAGGCCCTGCTTGCCAGGAGCCAGGAGTCATGTAATAACCTACATCCCTTCCGTTTCCAAAATGTTCCATATTCTTTGGGAAGCATTGTGGTTCAATGGTTGAAGGCAGAGGCTAGGTGCAGGAAGTCCAGCTTTGGTTGCCTGAGACTGGGCCGCAAGCTTGTCTTCATTTCCTGGTTTCTAAAGCCCCCCCTACCCCACCATTTCTATGTTAATGATGAACCCAGCCTAATTCCATTTTAAGATTGGGAGCAATCCCATCACAAAGTCATGAAAAGTTAATTTCTGTTTTACTATAAATTACTTAGGTTTCTAAACCTGTTTGGAATTCCTGCCCGTGCTCTGAACTCACCATACCTGGCTCCCCTTGACCAGATAACAACCCTCTCTGAAACCTCAGTGGAGCCTCATAAATTCTGATGTTGGGATCTGAACTTACTCCTTATCTTGAAATATCATGCCATGTAGATCATTAACCTGCTATCTGCCTTTGTATTATGCTTGTCAAAATCTTGTTAGCTGTAAGTTCTCAAGACACCCCTCCTTTGCAACTTTTTGTGCTTTAAAACCTGGTTCCTGGAGAGCTGGGGGCTGATCTGTAGCCCGGCTTAGGGAGAGACCTGCTGGCCAGCTTTCTTTGTGTGAACAATATAAGCTTGCTTTAATTTAAAATTGGAGTCCGTGGCCTTTTCTTTGCAGTGAATTGCCTAAGAGCCACAGGACAATAGGTGGCCACCCGAGGATTCACCCCTGGTCCTGATGTGGAGCTTCCCCTCTGAAGTACTTCACAGGGCCCCAGAGGCCGAGTGCTCTCACTGTCCCACTTCCCAGATACACGGCAAGGGTCCAAGTTCATACTGGGAGAAAGTGGCAGTGGTTTGAAGCCAGGCCTCTGCCACCTTGGAGCCTGTGCTTTTTTTTTGAGCTGGCATCTCACCATGTCGCTCAGGCTGGTCTTAAACTCTTGGGCTCAAGTGATCCTCCTGGCTCAGCCTCTCTAGTAGCTGGACTACAGGCACTTGCTACCATGCCGGGATTCCTGTTTTTTTGTTTGTTTCAAAGCACACTTAGGGGGTGTGCCGAGCAAGTCATTAGGATGCAGCAAGAAAATATAACACCCCCATTCATAATCATTCTTTATTTTTAAATGGAATAATTTAATTAAGCCTTATTAGTAATATACAGACTGATAGTAGTACTTGTACATGATTTATAAATAAATACACATATCCTGGAGTACATGCTCAAACACTGCAGACTTTGAGGTGCATGATGGAAAAGGAAGGCTTAGCGGGTAACTGCTAAGTGGCATGGGACCCTCATGTCCCTCTGGGTTGCTGTTTCTAGAGGGGTCATCCTGAGAAAGTCAAGTATGAGCTCTGGGGCCTGATGGCCTGGGTTCAAGTCTCCAATCTGCTACTCCCTAAGTTGTCTGACCTTCGGTCAGTGACTTCACCATTCTCACCTCAGTTTTCCTCATTGCAAAATGGACATAATAGCAGCAGTGGCTTTAGGTGGGTGAGGGATAAATCAGTCCATGTAAACACTAAGAACGTTGCCTGGCTCCATAAACCTGATTACTGTTCACCCCTTGTGGGAAGTGGGGAAATAGGTGCAGAGAGTTGAAATACCGAGGTAATAAGCAGAGCCGGATCCAGAGCTCTCAGCCTGTTTCCTCCTTGTCAAGATGGGGTTAAGAGCAGCACGCACCTCAGTGGCTGACCCAGAGGAAAGAAGTCACATTCCAGGAGAAGGGAGAGGCCCTGCGCCACAGGGCCTCTGAGAGAACAGCAAAGGCTTAAGAGATGGCTTTGCAACAGGCACTGGGCTCAAGGAGGCCACCAGGAGCGGGACAGATGCGCCCTCTAGTGCAGGAAGCAACCCCAGCAGCCAAGGATCCTGAGGGCTCCTGTTAAGACACCCAATCCAGGCACTTGGAATCCTGCAGGATCCTGAAGCAGAGGATGCCCCACTCGCCCAGGCCCAATGCAGAGGTGACAGAGCCAGGATTTAAGCTCGCCAGTCTGTCCCCAGACCCGACTCTCCATCCCTTTTTTTCGAACTCTCCCAGCCCCGTGGCGCAGGGTTCTTGGAATCTCTGGCTAAGCACTTCTCTGGACCGGGCCCTGAGGGACAGACTGGCATCTCTGGGCCTGTCTACCAAATGCCAGCAGCTCCTTCAATTATTGTAATGGCCCGGGATATTCCCACACATATCCATCGCTCACAGGATGTTTCTTCGGGCGCTTGGCCTGGGTCTCTCCCTGCCACAGCCAGGCTTCTCTTGTGCGCTTCCTCGCGTTTCTTTCTCGGTCAGTTCACCTGTCCCTTCTCCGGAACGTGCCCCCCCTCATTGTCAATCTAAGCTTCTCCACATCCAGACAGAACCCCCCCAAACAAAGGACATCTCTTCTGTCGTAATGTTCCCCAGACACCAGGTGAGGGCGTCAGGGCTTCAGCCGCCTGTCAAGCTCAGGAGTGCGGGGTTGGGGTACTCAGGGTTCTCAATGACTCCAGGGCCGAACTTGAGCTCCAGGAAGCGGCGGTAGTTATTAGGCGCCTGCGCCACAAAGCCGGCAAAGGGCAGGGGCACGAGAGGCTGCAGAAAGTGCTCAGGGAACTCGACATCCTGCCGGTGGTCCAGCCAGGTGTCCTTGGTCATGACCCCGTTGCGGGGGTAGAAGGGCCACAGATCTACATGCAGGTGGTTGCTCTCACTATACTGCACGCGGAAGAAGTCGCCTTCTATGGCCTTCTCCCACACGAAGCCGCGCTCATCCACCACGGAGCCAGCCTCAGCCCCCCGCAGCTGCTCGCAGTTGCCCACATCTTCCAAGTAGATGCCCAGGTCCACATCGTAGTCCCACGGGATGATGTCCCCGTGGCGGGCCGCGCCTAGCAGCGAGCCGCCCTCCAACCAGTAGCGCACACCGGCCGCCTCGAGCACGCCCACCACGTAGCGCGCCGTCTCGCGGAGTGCGCGCAGGCAGCAGGGAGGCGTCCACCGCTCCTCGTAGAGATAAGCGGGCGTGTCACCCACCACTGTCCCGAAGCAGCGTGTGCTCTCCTTGCTGCAGCCAAACCACTCGAGCCTCCCGCCCTCCCAGCTCACCAGACGGATGCCGAGCGCGCGGAGCAGAGACGCTCGTCGCGCGCGCCCCTCACGCTCCGCTTTCCAGCGCGCGTGTGCTGTGGCCAGCGGGGGCTGGCGCGCTGCGGCGAAGGGCAGGTCCAGCAGCTGCACCGCCCACCCTCGAAGGGAGGTCTGCAGGAAGAGGCTGGTGCCCACAGGCCGCGCCAGGGGCGCCGAGAGGTTGAACAGGTCCCGGGCACGCAGGAGCACCACAGCGTCCCCATCCAGGGCGTCACAACGGGGAGCAGTGGCTGCAGGGCCATAGCGGGCAGTCCACTCTCTCAAGCTGACATTCAGGGTTAGACACCGGGCTGGATTGGTTGTGGAGACAGGGGCCGCTACCAGGCGGGCACTTCCCCCCTTGAGGGCTTCCACCATGCGCTCCAGCTGGCCTGGTGACTCGGCCCGTGCCCCATCAGGCACCAGGGCCACAAACTCGGTGGCCACGTAGGTCTCTGGGCGCGAGGCCGAAGCAGGCCGGTCAAGGGCAGGCTGCAGCAGTGCCAGGCAAACGTTGGGGATACGGGGCAGGGCCAGGGGTGGGTAGGGGAGCGTGTCTGCCGCCACCACCACGGGCTGGGCTGGGTCCTGCTGTAGGAAAGAGTCCACCAGCTCCGGCACCGCGTTGTCAAAGGCCTCAAACTCCCGCACCAAGATGGTGACGCGTGGGCCGGTGGCAGATGCACGGCGGGGCCCCCGGGCCCGGGAGTTCCTGGGCTGGTGCTGCAGCCACGAGAAGTAGAAGAGAACCAGGAGGTTGAGGGTGATGGCGGCTGCCAGCGCAGCCTGACAGCGGGTGAGCCGCATGGGGCCGAAGTTAGGCCCTTAGCTGGGCATCCAGGGCATCCTGGGGAGATGGGATGAAACGGGAGGCTGCAGCTGGTTGTCAGAGGCCCCTCCCTCAATCCTCAGCCTTGCCTTTCTCCCCCAGTTGTCTCAACGCCCCCTCGGTGCTGGGGATGGAACCCAGGGCCTCCAGCATGCCAGGCAAACCTCTGCAGAGCTCCTCCCCCAGACGCACTGCCCTTCTCTTCCCTACTTGGCTTTCATTCTGACTTCACTTCCTCCAGGAAACCTTCCCTGACCTTCCAGGCTGGATTACGCACCTGCCCTAGGCTCCTTAGGCATCCTGGGGTTGTTTCACACCAGCCTGGCCACTCTAAGCCATAAGTGCAAGGCTTTGTCCCTTACTAGATGGGGACACTCAAAGGCAGGACCAGAGGCTGTCTGTCTTGGTCACTGCTGGATCCCCAGCATCACTCAGGATGAAGCCATGCTGTGCTTTTTAAAGATTTTTTTCCCCCAAGTGAATCACTTTACATGTTCATTCTCATCCTTGGCCTATTCTGTCAACTTCTCATTCAGATTCCAAGTCAGATATAAATACCCTGGCACCATTCCCAGGCCAACTTGCACCTTCCTCTCTATCATTCCTTCCACCAGGAGGCTGCCCTGATCTCTCCCTCCCGCAGGTGGCCCTGGCTCCAGAGCAGCGCTTAGACAGCAGCCCTCAACAATTCTCCAGCCTTCTGGACCCTTCTCATTTCCTCAAATCCTGTGCCATCCCATCATCTCCTTCCTGATGGTCAGTCAGATAATTTTGGTTCTACAAAAAAAGCCAAAAATGTTTGATTTTTTTTTTTAAAAATCAGAATCCTCCCCCTTTCTTTTTCTTTTTTTTTTTTTTGGTACCATGGATTGAACCCAGGGGCGCTTAATCACTGAGCCACATCCTTAGCCCTTTTTATTTTGAGACAGGGTCTCACTAAGTTGCTGAGGATCTTGCTGAAATGCTAAGGCTAGCTTTGAACTTAAGATCCAGCCTCCTGAGCTGCTGGGATTACAAGTGTGTGCCACTGAACCTAGCCCTCCTCCCCCTTTATTTTTTTGTGATGCTGGGAATGGAACCCAGAGCCTCACACATTAGGCAATGCTCTACCACTGAGCTACATCCTCAGCCCCAGAATTATCCCAATTTAAAAATGTTGGTCACTAACTGAATTAAAAAAAAAAATGGTGTGGTTGCCAGGGGCAGGGGGCGGGGGGGGTTGTTTGATGGGTACAGCATTTCAGGGTTGTTTTGTGTCTGTTTTTTGCAGTGCTGGGGACGGAACCCAGGGCCTCAGGCAAGTGCTCTGCCACTGAGCTGTACCCACAGTGTTTCAGTTTTACAAGATGCAAAACTCTGGAGTTGTTTTCCCAACAATATGAATGTATTTAACATCAGTGAACTGCACAATTAAAACTGGTTAAAATGGTACACTTTATATGTCTTTTTTTTTATTTGCTTACTGGGGATCGAACCCAGTGCCTCACGCATGCTAGGCAAGTGCTTTCTACTGAGCCACAACCCCAGCCCACTTTATATGTATTTTATAACAATTTAAATTTTTTTTAAAAAGTGGAAGGGGTCACATCAAGGGAGGCTGCCAACACAGGAAACAATGTGTCCCTGTTCACTGGCCTCCAGATGGTGCTGTCTCCCTCTGCCCACCACAGGTTGGCGATGTCTGCACAGGTGGTGTAACTGGGTAATCCTACCTACAGCTAATCCTACCTCCTAAATACTTTTGACTCCTTCCTATTTCCTCAGCTTCCCCTCAACCCAGGTCCATCTAATTCCCATCCAACCTCCCCTAGGTCTCCTGCCCAAGTCCCCTCCTCTTAATAGTGAGGTGGTCTTCATAAAGCATGAATGTGACCTCTCCCTCCTTGCTGAGAACTTGCTATGGCTCCCTAGTGCCCAGGGAGAAAGTTAAAATTTCTTATAACATTCCACTTGTGTGTCCACCATGCCAGCTTCATTGCCTATTGCACTCCCTGTTCTGGTTTAGATAGGTGGTACCCCCAAAAGCTCATGTGTGAGACAATGCAACAAAGTTCAGAGGTGCGCTGACTGGGTTCTGAGAGCTTTAACCTAATCAGTGCATTCATCCTGGTAGTGATTATCTGGGTGGTAACTGTAGGCAGGTGGGGTGTGGCTGGAGGAGATGGGTCAATGGGACTTGTCCTTGGGGTTTACATTTTTGTCTGTCTGGAGGGGTTTATATTTTTGTCTGTCTGGAGGGGAGCTGTCTCTCTCTGCTTCCTGGTGTGATGGATGTTCTGAGTCGCTTTCCTCCACCGTCCGCTTCCACCATGATTTCTGCCTCACCTTAAACCCCAAGGAATTGGAGTTGGCTGTCTATGGACTCAGATCTCTGAAGCTATGAGCACCAAATAATTTTCCTCCTTAAAGTTGTTCTTGTTAGGTCTTTTGGTTACAGCAACGAAAAGCTGACTAGAACACCTCCCTTAAGCTCTGCCTAAGTTACCCAGAATGTTTTCTAAACTGGTCTTATTTCTAAGCAATTGCACCTTCTGTTCCTTCTGTCTGGAAGGGTCTCCTATACCTTATTGCCTTGGGCCTGGGTCCTGCCTGGTCTTTGCACCTTCTCTCTCCACCCATCCCAGTCTTTCTTGTCTTTCTTCAATTCAGTTTGGACAGCACTTAAGAATCTGAGTTGTTGTCACACCAGTAATCTCAATGACTGGGGAAGCTGAGGTTGGAGGATTTTAAGTTCAAGGCCAGCCTCAGTAATTTAGAGACTCAGCAATTGAGAGTCCCTCAAGAATTTAGCAAGACCATGTCTAAAAATAAGAAAAAGGACTAGGGCAGTAGCTCAGTGGTAAAGGTAAAGCACCCCTATGTACAATCCCCAGTATTGCCCCCTCCACAAGAATCTGAGCTGTACTTCAAGAGTGACTTCTGAGAGCTGGAAGCAGCAGTGCACAACTATAATCTCAGTGACTCATGAGGCTGAGGCAGAAGGATTGCAACTTAGCAAGGCCCTGTCTCAAACTAAAAAATAAAAAGGGCTGAGGATGAGGCTCAGTAATTAAGCACTCCTGAGTTCTAGCCCCAACACACACACACACACACACACACACACACACACACACACACACGAAGAATGACTTCTGAGCTGGGGATGTAGCTCAATGGCAAAGCACTGCCTGGTGTGAAGCCCTGGGTTCCATCCCCACACTGGGGGGAAAAAGAAAGCACTAGGTGCATGCAGTGGGACCTGTAGTCTCAGCCACTTGGGAGGCTGAGGTAGGAGGATCACTTGAACCCAGGCAGAAGCTCAAGGTCAGCCTTGCAAACATAGCAAGATCCTATCTCAAATAAATAAAAAATAACTTTCCAATTTTAGAACATTGGAATTGCCTTCCGGGCCTTAGATTGATCTTTCCCCCGTCAATCTTTCAACATCAGTCTGTTGAACTAAATACACCAAATACAGTTCTAGGTATTGTAGCTACAGCCATGGACACACAGAAAATATTCCTGTTCTCGTGGAACTTATGTGGAGGTGAGAAACTCTGAAACCACAGAATCTTCTGGGCTTGAAAAAAATCTTAAAACTGCCAAGCACAGGGCTGGGTTTGGGGCTCAGTAGTAGAGCACTCACCTAGCACGTGTGAGGTACTGAGTTCGAACCTCAGCACCACAAAAAAATAAAATGAAGATACTGTGTTCATTTACAACAAAAAACAAACAAACAAACAAAAACTGCCAGGCATGATGATGCATGCCTGTAATCCCAGCAATTTAGGAGGTGGAGGCAGGAGGACTGCAAGTTTGAGGTCAGCCTGGGCAACTTAGAGACACCCTGTCTCAAAATAAAATACAAAGGGGTGGGGATGGAGCTCAGTGGCAAAGTGCACGTGGGTTCAACCCCAATACAAAAGCAAAAACAAAACAAATGAGTTTTATTCCCCAGGAGCAAAGAAGTGGTCCTTAGATAGTTTCAGAGCCTTCCAATTCTTTTTTTTTTTTTTGAATTTTTATTATTTATTTTTTAGTTCTCGGCGGACACAACATCTTTGTTGGTATGTGGTGCTGAGGATCGAACCCGGGCCGCATGCATGCCAGGCGAGCGCGCTACCGCTTGAGCCACATCCCCAGCCCCGCCTTCCAATTCTTGATGGTCAGTGAGAGACCATCTTCTTACTTCCATCTTTGTCTCATTGCATTTCCACACTCAGTGCCTAGAGGGATCCTGTTAACACTCAAACTAGATCCTCCCCTGTTTCAACCGTCCCCAACCTTCTCGCTCAAAGGAGAAGTCCAAGCCACGTGTGGTGGCACAGGCCTGTAATCCCAGTGGCTCGGGAGATGGACACAGGAAGATCATGAGTTCCAAGTCAGCCTCAGCAACTTAGCAAAGCACCAAGCAACTCAGTGAGACCTGTCACTACTGAAAATACAAAATAGGGCTAGAGATGTCGCTCAGTGGTCAAGAGCCCCTGGGTTCAATCTCTAGGACCGGAAAAAAAAAAAAAAAAAAGAAACAAAACCCAGAAGTGCATGTCCTCGCAGTTGCCCATGAGGCCCCACACGAGCACCATCCTTTCCTACTTGCTTATTCAGCTCCAGCCACAGAGGCCCCCAAACTCCATTCTTCAAACACACTCAGGATTCTCTAGCTGCCGAACTGCCTCTTACCTGTCTGGATGCTCCTCCCTTGTGGCCTGCAGGTCTTTGCTCGAGTCACCTTCCAATGGCCATCCTATTTAACAAGCATGTCCCTAACACCCACATACTTCCTCTCCCATCCCTGCCTTAGTTTTCTTCCCTACTGCTAGCATCATTATTGTCAGGGTTCCCATGGAAGCCAGAGACCTATTTTGTCCCTGCTCAGTGCCTGGCTTACAGCCAGTGCCCAATAAACATGTGTTGCATGAAGGAGTGACTTCAAGTTGTTAAGATGGGGAGCCTGCGGTTCAGAGGTGGGAAGGATGCAGGAAAGGACTCAGGTCCTCCAAGTCCACGTTTTGTCTGTCTGACTATGGGCCAGGAGGTGACCAGCAGGGCAGAGGACAGATATTGAGTTCTTAGTGACCTGAGGACTTGATGGCCAAGGAGGAGGTGCTACTTGCGGGGGAGGGTGTGAGGGGAGGACAAAGGGATCATTTAGTATTCCGATTAGGTTGGTCTTGGCTTTGCCAACTGTAAGTACCACAGACTCTTCCATGAGGGCAAGGTGGATGACTGCTGACTGTGAAGCCCTGAATGTTCTACATGTTCTGCATCAAGACACAGCAACATCAACGATTTTATCAGCTCACAATGTGTCTGGCCCTGACACTTCCTATGTATTCACTGTTCTAAGCACTTCACTCGTTTAATCCTTATATATGATCACATTTAAGGATGAGTTAACAGGCCTACAGACTTAAAGTCACTTGCTCAAGGTCACACAGACAGGAAATGGTAGACCCAGAATTTGATCCAAGAAGCTGGTCCTAGAGTTATGCTTTAAATCAATAAACTCTTCTGCCTCTCCTGGGGCTGACACTACAGCCCAACTCTTGATCTATCTTCAGTAACCCTTCCCCAGCCCTAATTTGATGTGTCCATGAATATGTGAATACGGCATTGTAATTAATTATTTCAACTCAGTAACTCAATGGATATTTCTTCAGTGCTCTCTCTGTGCCAGACCCCATGTTCTGAGGACCAGGATGCAGGAGGTAGGCATTGGCTCAGGGCTGCCTTCCAGATGTGAGAAAACAGACAAAAACCAAATACCTTATAGACAGGCAAAAAACCAGAAGAGGGCATGAGAGGAAAACAGGGAACTTGCCAGAAAGGTGGTCAGGGGAGGTGAGAAGAGTGTATTGCTTTCTCCTTTCCACACAAGACATTGTAAGTGTGCTGCTCTCATCTGGTGTGAACCTCCGCCCATGCAGCAGGCAGAAAAACTGAGTTCTATGTGGGCAAGCCTTTGGGGATAAGGAAAGGGCAGTTCACGTGAGAGTGCTATGACACTGAGGGACTTCTTACCTCCTAGGTTGCAGGCTGGGGGAGCTCCAGGAGGGTGGTTCCAGCCCGACTGAGCTGCTCTGCTGAGGAAAGGAGAACCAGAAAACCCCAAGTCAGCCAATTCTGCACAATAGAGCCTAATTTCATACTGCCACAAAAGTGGCATCTACAAGGTCAGGGAATCCTTTTTCTTAAAGTCCCATAAGTTTGGGCACCAAATGGGGCATCTCAGGAGAGGGGTGGGGTGGGTGGGAGTGATGACAGTTATAGCAACCTTTAACCATGCCTCTCTCATGAATATGTCCAGAAAAGGTAAGGCTAAAAGTGACAGAAACTGTTACCATGACAACCTTTCTCTAGACACACTCCACCCCCTAGAGACAATTCTGAAAATCCCCTACCTTGTTGGGCCTGGTTCTTAGGGTCACCTGGTGGGGAGGGGCTGTTACTGTGGCAACAAACACTTGGTCTTTCTAGTTTCTTACATCCTTGGGGATGGTCCAGGCCCTGTAACCATAGCAACTGCCTGGAAACAGTATCTCTTCCTCTCAATAAAAACACCTGGTTGGTTTGATCCATGGACCTCCCAGGATGAGAAGAGGGAGATGGTTACTATGGCAATGCCACCTGGGTGGCTACAAAGGAGGGGTTGGGGAAGAGTTTTTTTCTCTTGGACATCAGTGTCCTTAGGGCTGGGGTCCTTTCTACCTGAGTGCTAGGTGAGGGGAGTTGCCACTGTAACCGATGTGGGCAAGGGCAGAAGGACCCCCAGGGACATAGGTTACCTTAGCAACCTACTCCTGGGGCTGAGACAGGAGAGGTTTGGAGCTCCATAACCACAAAGGGGAAGAGGAGACTGAGGGCTCCAAGCTGGGGGTTACCACGATAACCCACCTGGCCAGAAATCAGCAGGGGCCACTGCTGAAATCACCCCCGGGGGCCCCCTTCTCTCTCAAAGAGTGAAAGCGATTGTTCAGCGGTGTCCTGGGGTCTGGTTGGGGTACAACCCTCTCTTTGGGGTGAAGGGGGAGGAGCGGAGCAGAAAACTGCCCCTTCCCAAGCCTGCAAGGGCGGACGCCGCGCGGGGACTGGGTCTCCTTTGCCCTCCTCGAAGCGCGCCCCACCGCCCCGCCCCTGCCCTCACCCCCACGCGCACGCGCGCCTTCGGGGTCGACCCGGGTGGGCGAGGCTCGCGCCCGGCCCGGTGCTCGTCACCGCCTCTCCCTGTCCCCCGCCAAGAGCGCGCGCGGGGGGTTGGCGCGGCCGCGCAGGCGCGCGAGGCACAGCGGGCGCGCGGGCCGGCCCCGGGGCCTCCATGATGGAGGAGCGAGCGGCCGCCGCGGTCGCTGCCGCTGCCTCCTCCTGCCGCCCGCTCGGCTCCGCCGCGGGCCCCGGACCGACTGGGGCGGCCCCGGTATCTGGCCCTGCTCCGGGGCCCGGCCCGGCAGGTAAGGGAGGCGGCGGCGGAGGCAGCCCCGGGCCCACAGCGGGTCCGGAGCCCCTGAGCCTGCCCGGGATCCTGCACTTTATCCAGCACGAGTGGGCGCGCTTCGAAGCCGAGAAGGCGCGCTGGGAGGCCGAGCGCGCCGAGTTGCAGGTGAGCGCTGCCCGGGACCCCCGACCCCCCGCCCGGCCCGGCCCGGCCTCACCCGCCGCCGCCGCCGCCGCCATCTTGGAGCAATGGCCGCCGGGACGGCCGGGGGGGCGGGAGGTAGCCGCGACTGTCCCACGGAGCAGGTGGGGGCCCGTCCGAGTGGGGTCCCGAGAGCCCCGGGGCGGTAGGGGCCCGGGACGGCTCGGAGAGGGAGCGGAGGGGCCCGCGGCCGGGATGGACCGACCCTGAGAAAGGGGCGGAGGAAGCCGAGCCGGCTGGAGGGGGAGTGAGCGCACCCGGGCAGGGGCTCCGAGAGGCGGCTCCGGCCGGAGAAGCTCCCGAGAACTCGGGAAGGGCGCTCAGAGGAGCGGAGGGCTCTGCAAGATCCGAGCGGTCCCGGACCGGAGTGGACAGGAGCTCGCACGGGCCGAGGGATTCCCACCCGCGAGCCCGTCCCCGACCTGCTGCGGGTGGGAGGTTGAGCTGGGTCCCGGGCTCCTGGTGGGATAGCGGGCGCGCCTGGGAGGACTTGGTGCGCGCTGGGCTCGAGAGAGCGGGTCGGGTTGGGGGAGCCGGGAGGAGTGAGGAGAGGAAGTCCGGGAGTCTGGAATGGGGTGTGTTACGGGGCGTTTGGACCCGAGGAACTGAAAGATGGATGTGTGAGGACGACTCCGAGGAAACTTTAGGGAGCCCCAGCGTGTGTGGCAGAGGGCAGGGGAGGGGGTCCCGGGGTGGAAGTGTGGACCGGGTAGAGGACGTACCCTAGGGACAGTGTGGGGTGCTTGAGAGTGGGGGGAGCACCAGTTTGGGGGTTTGGAGGAGTGGGAGTGATGGCCCTGACACGGGAGGTGTGTGTAGGATGTCAGGTAAAAAGAGCCCTGAACTGGAGTAGGACGGTTTCTGCGGGGAGAAGGGGGCCTGGGATGGGAACAATGAAAGGGAATGGAGGTGCCCAGGGTGATGCTTTAGGGGAGCATTTTGTACAGCAGGATGATGTCTGTGGAAGATCCTGAGATGAACCCTGTGATTTGTGGAGGGGGGTGGGGGAATGTGCCCTGGGATGCTGCAGGGAAGAGTCTGAGGGATTGGGCTAGCTTTTGTGACCTTGAGGAGTGTGGGTCATTTTTGGACAGTGTCAAGAGAAGTTTGGGGATCAGAGAGGTGAGGATTTGAAAAGATCAGGGATGGGCTGCCAGGTGTCCTAGGACTCCCAAGCTGGTGTATTATTAGCCGAAGTTGTCAGTACTTGATTCTAGCAGCCCATCTTTGCTCTTTGATTTGCTGCTTCCTATCTAGGGCCCACATAAAGAACTGATTAGAATTTTGATGATGGGCTTGATAAAAAGCATCCCACAGTTGCCCCTTCCCCCAATCCTAGCTGAGTGGTGGCTGAGGCTCTGGTTGAGTTGGGAGAGGAATCCTTACATAAGTGAGCCTCACTTTTGTGGCTCACTCTATACTTTCCAAGTTCTTTCCCAGCATATATCTCATTAGATCTTGTCAATACCCCATTATGTAGGCAGGGCCAACGTCATTACCTCACTCAGCAATAATCATAACAGCTGCTATTTATTCAGTGCATATTAATGTGCTATGCACTGTATTAGGCACTTTAGGTGCACACTCTCATTTGATTCTTGCAACATCCTAAAGAATAAATGATGTTAGCCCTCCCTTTTTAAATAAAGCCAGAAGAGGAAACAGGTTTGGGGAGAGCAAAGGATTTATGAAGGATCCTTGAGGCTGGACTGTGTTCCCTTCCTTTTTTCCACCCAATCCGGATAAGAAATTGGCCTAGATGGCCTCCCCAGGTCACCCAATGGTCATAGCAGAGTTTGAGCTGAATCCTGGTCTGTGAAACTTCACACCAGTGCATCCTACAGCACCCATTAACCATCTTCTCATCTTTTTCTAGTGAGAGAAAAGCTATGTGTATCCCATGTCTTAGTGACCCTTCTTGAATTTGAGGGGAACTTATGGGGAGCACTGGGCTAGGCTCTATTCTCTTATCTGGCTCCAGCACCACTTACCTTATGCTTTTGTTACATTAGCAAAAATTAAAACATTTTACGGGTGTGCAGTGTGGGGGCATACATCTGTAATCCTGGTGACTTGGTAGGCTGAGGCAGGAGAATCTAAAGTTTGAGGGCAGGCCAGCCTCAGCCACTGAGTGAGACCTTGTCTCAAAGTTAATAAATAAATAAATAGGGCTGGGGATGTAGCTCAGTGGTAGAGCACCTTTGGGTTCAATCCTCAAAGCTGAAAAAAAAAAATAAAGAGTGGTGAATATGCTTATTTCCCTGGGTAAAGCGGATTGTCTGGGTGGCATTGTGGAGGGAGCAGATGTTTGCTCCTCAATTGGTGCCATGCCACAGTGCCCCAGCGCTGTCCATTCCCATCAGTGGCACCTCTTCTCGCACACCTTTCCTACAGCACTGCAGACTCTGCTGTGCCAGCAGTGTCAGGTAACTTCTGATGAACTGGGAAGAGCTGAGCTGGCTGCTTCCCGCGCAGACCTGCTGTATAGCCAGTGCTCAGGACGAGGTTCTACCAGGAGGCACCGAGATTTTGGAGTGGGGAGGTAGTGCAGATCCAGTCTGATAATAAGTGGTAGTGTATTCACGGGGATTCCAAGAAGTAGGCTATGCTTTTTGCCCCTCAGAAACTTGCAGGCCCCCAGAGGAGGGTGTTTTGCGCAGGAGTCTGCACAGATTGCACACGCTCACGCAGTTGCATGCAATTGTAGGGCTCTGCCCTGGTGCCGTGTGCTGTGTTCTGAAAGGGAAGCTCTCTAAGGACCAGAGGAACCCTTTGCGGAGGGTTCCGACCCAGACATTCATGTGGGAGCAGGTGTGGTGCCTGTCCCAGGGGGTTTGGGATCTTGTGGGAACTCTTCCCTGCCAGGAGCTGTGGGAACTTGGGAGGGAGGAGCTGAGGTGCTATAGGGCTTCAGGCATTGCATGGGGACCCTGGGACAGAAAGGCAGGCGTGAAGAAGCAACAGTTCCCAGAGGGAAGCCTGGGAGCTGCTGCCTTTCTAAAGGCAGGGAAGAGCTGGGGAGAGGCGGCCACCGTGTCTCAGAACTATGGTTCATTCTTTTTATATATATATATATATATATATATATATAAAGTTGTAGTTGGACACAACACTTTTATTTCACTTGTTTATTTTTGTATGTGGTGCTGAGGATCAAACCCTGGGTCTCGAACATGCGAGGGCGAGTGCTCTACCACTGAGCCACAATCCCAGCCCCAAGAACTATGGTTCTTTTGGTGAGGGTGTCTTCTGTCTGTCTGGCCAGAGGGAGAGGCAGTGGGTGGATATGGTGAGCAGAGAGCTTCTAGATCCCAGGCTCGCCTGCCACCCTGGCTCACAGATCAAATAGAGCTGCTGGCGCTTGCTGGTGTTGCTGGGAGGCTGACTGGCCACCTACATTTCCCCTTTTTGGTGGGATTCCACCAGTCCGAGACACTTGAACCACATATTTCTGGTTCTCTTTTGTCCCTTCTCTGCCAGAGAAACAGAAGGGGACAACAGAGCAGAGTGGGCTGAGATCCTTGCATTGTAGCCAACAGGGGGATCCAGCATGGAAGGAAAGACGCTGGGAGGTAGAAGCACCCGTGGGGACAGCTGAGAAGGGCAGGTGGGGGCAGACCCAGGACTGCTCAGCGTGGACCCTCCCTGGCTACTCTCCCTCCATCCACCTTCCCAAATGAGGTATAGAGGAGGTTTGGGTACTGAGAAGACACACAGGACAGAAGTTCACGCTTCTGAGATGTTGATCACATGGGGAGTCTGCCCACAGGCCCAGGATATTCAAGTATATACATGTTGATTAAAGTCTTAGGAGGGAAAAGGTCCTCTCGGTGGATAAGTGAGGTATCTTGCCGTAGCATATCTGATGATGTGTTTATGTGCTGCTTGTTAGTCCCGTAGCCCCTATTAGAAGATAAACCCTGTCTTGCTCTGTTCTGCACCCTGATTCATAGTTTGGGCTTAAATAGTTTGTGGATTAAATGAACAGCTCTCCTTTTGTCATACATTAGTGTGTGTATCCCTTCTTCTTTGTTCATACAGAGGCGCACCATTGCAGGTATGCCTGCAGAACACATTCCTAGAGGTGGAACTGATAGGACAAAAGCAAGGTTGTGGAACCTCTATTTATTTAGCTACTAGGATTCGGACCTGAGGGTGCTCTACCACTGAGCCACACTCCCAGCCCATTTTATTTTATTTTGATACCAGCGTTTTAACCCAGGGGTACTTGACCACTGAGGCACACACGTCCCTAGCCCTTTTTATAATTTATTTAGAGACAGCGTCTTGCTAAGTTTCCTAGAGCCTCACTAAATTGCTGAGGCTGGCTTTGAACTCATAATCCTCCTGCCTCAGCCTCCCGAATTGCTGGGATTACAGGCATGCACCCCTATGCCTGGCTGAATCTCTTTCTAGATACTGCCAGGTTGCCCTCCAGGAAGGGTTCATTAATTCATGGCCCTACCAAGTGTACAGATGTGCCTGTGTCCCTGGCCTGGGCCAGTGCTAAGTATCACTTAGTATGTGCTCAATTCTCAGCCGACCTGAGGGCAGTTCCTGGTCCCTGGGGCACTACAGGGGTGATAGCAGGCCTGGGGCATGGGGACGTGCTCTGCTCCAGGTGCATGGGCTGGAGATCAGGGTCCTGGCAGCCCATGGCAAGGAATAGTGGTGTGGGTGGGCATCTGAGAGGCTGCCCTGGGCAGAGCAAACCTTGAAGGAAGATATCTAGGGTCGGCCTGGGGGGCTTCCGGGAGAGCCTTGTATTTCTTCAACAGGTATGTGATATGCAGGGAGCTCCGTGGCCGGAAGACGTAGTTGTCTAGCAGGGTAGGGGGCCTGTGGTCCGTAGCGTTCCTGCCTGACGGGCCTTGCCTCTCTCAGGGATCCTAGCTCCCCAGAGGAAATGGGCCCATTTTAAAGTTTCAAAAGGATGGTCAAAGAATAAAAATATCAAGAGAGGCGGAAGGAGGAGCTGGCATCTGCTAGCCCTCATTCTGGGCTGGGCCTTGGCTGAGGAGAATGGAACACATGAGGAGGTACTCTCGTG